CATAGCTAAAAGCAAGATGAACACACTATGACAATGTGGAGGAATGCCTCAGCAACCACAAACTTATCCATCCATAAACCTCGTGAAGAATGCCAATGTAGAGTGAGAGAGAACCCTATTGTGGACTGGGAAGAAACAAAGAATGAGTTGAGATGAGAAAGAACGACGATCATTCGTGAATCTCACCTTGTCTCAGGCAGAACAAATAAACAGGAATAGAATTCTAGAATAACGGAATCAACCATCACTATCACCCCCATGATCAGTAACTCTGATAGCCATGAAACGAAAATTCACACCCCACTGGTCAAGTGGAGGTGTAAATACCTCAGAGTGAGAAGATAATGGAGGTGGGAAATGGAATAGAGAGACCAACCTTGATACCAGAACCCAAAGTGCCCATGGATCTGCAATAAAGGAATACCATCAATAGTTGTAACCTCACTGTAACTGATCCCTCGCCTAGGTTGATACTGATGCCATTGGCATCAGTCAGCCCAAATGGAGTGGCCCTGAAATGAAGGTCTAAGTCTATTTAACTGCTAGAGCCAAAGAAGGTTGAGAGGTCAACAACCACAAAAAAGCAAAGTCCTCTGGGACCCCCACAAACATAAAATGACAATAAAAGGAAGCCACATGTAATACCCAGAGGCTACAGCAGGTAGACAAAATCCATTCACCAAGGTATCTATACAGAAGGAACAGAAGCAGACAACAGGCAATCTGACCAAGGTTAAAAGTCAGTAGGAGACCCCATTTGTCTGCAAATTAATGTGGGGACTATTGATAGGCTAACAACAAAATGCAGAGGAAGAACATCACAGAGCAAGAGTGAGGAGCATACAAATACAAAAAAATGTGATTGGTTAAAGTGATCACATGAACCAACCTGGAACCCTATATATCCAAAATAAAATTAATTTTAATCTGTGGAATTGAAAAAATACATCCTCCTAGAGGTAGAAAGCAAAAAATGCAAACAGAAAAACAAGGGTATAAGTTATATCTATCCCATCATGTAATAAAGCAGTAAATCTCTCAGCATGAACCAGGCTTATCAGGTGAAGAAAGAAAAACTAAACAGCCCCCCCCCCCCTCAACTGTTCCACTATCAAGGGAGGAGTAGACTTAAAGGTCACAGAGAAAACCCCCAAAGGTTCATAACCCAACTGACTAATTGAAGAAAAGGAGTAGTGGGTGATTAACTGCCATGCTGACAATGGTAATATAAGAATTCTTACCCACAAACATGATGTCCACATTTTTTTTTTAATATATAGAGAAATTATAATTATATGGAAGGCAATGTGAAAATTGCAATTCATAATGGAATGAACCACAGAACTTCATCAGACATAACCATGACCAACACTTTGTTGAGAAAAAGTGATTACATTATCTGAGTGAGGTGCTTATATACAGTATCAGGATAGAGGGCACATTGACGCAAGTGGAAGAACTTGCAAATTAGATATTGCCAAGGGCATTTAAGTGGGATAAAAAAGACCGAAGCATGCAAGACCAATGCTTAGATAGACAAAGCCAATGTCAAGGAATAGCTAAAGTGTCAGCAGTGGTTAAGTATGTTTGGAACAAGCTGAACTAAAGTGTACAACCTGACAACAGCATTACACAAGCTGTACAGTAATGTACAACCTGACAACCAGCATTACACTAGTTAAACAGTAGCGTACAACCTGAGAACAGCATTACACAAGCTAAATAGTAATGTACAACCTTACAACAGCATTACACAAGCTGAACTGTGGTGTACAATGTGACAACAGCATTAGACTAGATAAACATTACTATATAACCTGACAACAGTATTACACAAGGTGAATAATAGTTTACAACCTGACAACAGTATGACAGAAACTAAACAGTTGTGTACAATCTGAAAACAATATAACACAAGCTAAACAGTAATGTAGAACCTAAAATCAGTATTATACAAGCTGAAAAGCAATGCAGAGAAACTGACAGTAACATTACAAAAGCTGAAAAGCAATGCAGAGAAATTGAAAATAACATTACAAAAGCTGAACAGCAGTTTACAACCTGACAACAACATTACACAAGCTGAATAGTAGTGTACAGTCTGAAGACAGTGCTGTACAAGCTGAACAGTAATGTAAAACCTGACAACAGTATTAAACAAGCTGAACAGAAGTATACAACCTGAAAACAGTATTAACCCGATGGCTACCGGTACTAACTTTCTTAGTAGGCAATGCAAGTGTGCATTTGTGAATTGAAAAAATGATAGAGAACTTATCTTTTAATGGATTTCTGATTTTATTTTTATAAATAGTAGCATAACATTCAATTATTTGTACAAAATTATATTCTTTAATGTTTTTAGAGGGCGCTTATTTACAGTCTAAAACGTATTTTAGGAATTTTTTCATTAAATTTCTCTTTAAACTTTAAAATACGTTTTAGACTGTAAATAAGCGCCCTCTACGAAGAAATGTTTTTTTCAAACATTTTTTTAAGAAGAAATGTTTCTTTCAAAAA